GTGATGCAAAGCTGAATTTTCAGCATCATTACTCCAGTCTTCAACGTCGCATGATCCTTCAGAAATCAGTCTAATATAGTTGATGCTCAAGAAACATTTAGCATTATTATCAATGTTGGAAACAGCTTAATATTTTTTGTGGAAACAGTGATACATCTTTTCAATATGCTTTGACAAATAGTTCAATAAAAAGTACATTTATTTGACAAACTTACTAACCCTAAACCTTTGAACAGTTGTGCAATTTAGCATTGATTTATTATTATTTATACATTTATTTTTAAATCATTACATTCATTTTTTTGAAAATTATTATTATTTTACAAAAATATTTGCAATAGTAATTAATTACACAAATCATACAGTCATTATATAATAATTGTTATATTTATTTTCATATTATTATAGTCATAACATTATTTTATTATCATTATTATATTATACAGACAACTTGAAGACACTTTGCTGGAGAATGATGACGTACATGACGGCATCACTGCAATCCTGGAGTAAGAGAAAACATGAGAAGAAACTCACCTGGCGGCACACCAGAGGAAATGGTGGAGGACGACAGCTGACCTTGACCTTTGGAAGTCATACCGGCCACCTGAATGGTGTAGGTAGTGAGCGCGGTCAGACCGGTGACCCGGTACTCCTGTGTCAAGTTGGGCAGGTAATGCGTGACACGAGTGTTTGTTCTGTTGAATTCCTCCCAGGAAATGCGATACCCTGCAGGCACAAGACAGAAAGTGGTTCGGCAGACAGCCAGAAGATGAGTAGAAATCGCTAAAGGGGGTGGTTCAGATACCTGTGAGGATGCCGTTCTTCTCCGGCGGGTCTTTCCAGCTGACTTTGAGAGATGTGTCCAGGATTTCTGTGAAGCTCAGGTGACCTACAGGTCCAGGAGCTGAGTATACAGACACCCACATGGAGTCTTTTTAAAGGCCTTAACAGAACATTGTCATGGGTCGAGATGGATAGAGTACGTAAAAAAGTACACTCACTGTCTTCGTGGGTGCGTGTGCGCAGCGGAGTGCTACGAGGGCCATCTCCCGGCGTAGTGAAGCACAACACGCAGGTGAAGTACTCCGTAAACTTCTTCAGTCCGGCGATGTAACCTACATGAACACTGTCTTGAAAATTGGGTCTCACAGT